ACTAAATATTGTGTCTTGTTTCCCATTTCTTTTTTTTTGGATTTTATTTATTTATTTGTTTGTTTATTTATTTATTTATTTATGTGAGGAAGATCGGCCCTGAGCTAACATCTGCCAATCCTCCTCTTTTTTTGCTGAGGAAGACTGGCCCTGGGCTAACATCCATGCCCATCTTACTCTACTTTATATGGGACGCCACCATAGCATGGCTTGACAAGTGGTGCATCGGTGCGCGCCCGGGATCTGAACCGGCAAACCCCAGGCTGCCGCAGCGGAGTGCACGCACTTAACCGCTTGCACCACCCGGCTGGCCCCTGGGTATGACTTTTGACACCCCTTATAGGTTTGTGGTGGGAATGACAACTCTTGAGGCTAGTTAGGAGGGCTAGTTATACCTTCCAAAGCACAGGCCTCTAATTTGGACAGCTGACACCAGATGAACAAAGACCTGGGGTCAGGCACCATGAGTTAAGCGGTTCATTAATCGTTGGCACTGATAACAGAGACCTGCTTTATATATAATATATACAAAGTAGGGATTAAAAATATATAAATAGCCAGGAATAATCTAACACCTGGCTTGCTAAGTGGCAATTGCTATTAATTACTAGTTAATTCAATACAAGTTAATTAATAGAGCATTTAACTCTCTCTAATGCTTCAGGCTTTTGAAAAGCCCTGGTCCATGGCCTATCCATAGTCTCCTAAAGGTTCATCATTTAAAATAAGATTTCTAGCCACAGTTTTCTCGTTTTCAGGTTGAACTATTTATCTCTAAGATCTTTTTCTTTTCTTTTTTTTTTGTGAGGAAGACCAGCGCTGAGCTAACATCCGATGCCAATCCTCCTTTTTTTTGCTGCTGAGGAAGACTGGCCCTGGGCTAACATCTGTGCCCATCTTCTTCTACTTTATAAGCCACGCCACAGCATGGCTTAATAAGTGGTGCATCGGTGCGCGCCCGGGATCCAAACCTGTGAACCCTGGGCCACCGCAGCGGAGCGTGCGCACTTAACCACTTGCGCCACCGGGCCGGCCCTTAAGATCTTTTTCAGTTCTAAAATTTCAAGATTTTGTTTTCCAAATTTACGTCTACTGCGACTGTGTCAATGGACATAAGATTTCACGTAAGATAAGACTTGAACTAGTGGCTCAATATTGCTAAGAGAGAAAAGGCATTACTTTACTCCTTGATCACAATTTATGATTTCTAAAGTACACTTGACATACTTCTCTAAGGGGAATCAGGAATTCCTGTTGATATTTCCTTTAAAGGACAAGGAGGTCAAAAAAGAGGATGGCTGGGGTCGGCCCCGTGGCATAGCGGTTAAGTGCATGTGCTCCTCTGCTGGCGGCCCGGGTTCGGATCTTGGGCGTGTACCGACACACCGTTTGTCAAGCCATGCTGTGGCAGCATCCCACATAAAGTGGAGGAAGATGGGCACGGATGTTAGCTCAGGGCCAGTCTTCCTCAGCAAAAAAGAGGAGGATTGGCATGGATGTTAGCTCAGGGCTGATCTTCCTCACCAAAAAAACACAAAAAAAAAAAACAAAAAAAAAAGAGGATGGCGGTGTAGACATATCTCTGTATCTTTTTTTCTGATCAGCAGAATTTCTATAGCAACCAAGTCACTCTATTACTTTTAACTCTTATCCCAACAAACTGCTGATAATAGCAATGGATAGAATTTATTTATTAAAGTTTGCCATCTTTAGTATTTTATATCTTATATTTGATAAAAGCCTGTTTCTTAAAAGGGCTATCTATTTTTACTTTATAACATTCAAACAAAACTTTTTAAAAAGGGAATGATTTCCTAATGTAGGGAAAAGGGGAAAAAAAAAAAAAAACCCAAACCCAAACCCAATACATCTTGAAAACTGAAGAACAATTTCCTAGCTCCAAATGGAATATCAGTCCATAATTTTCTATAAAAGAGGTAAGAAGTGACGAGAAAGAAAAAGAATACCTAAACATATTTTAGAATAACATGTTTTTCAGAAACACTCTTACCAGTTCTCCCTCAGGACCACCAAAATCCAGATACAGATTTCTGATGCCATCATCAGCAGACATTTTCAGCCTTTCAAAGGGGTAGTGATACAATATGCTGCTGGAACCTCCATTTTCCCTGGAGATAGTGAACCCATTTTCATAATGGACATTGAGTCTTACCTCTTGGCCATTTAACGTGCAGCCTGTTGAAGACAAGCAAAAAACATCATTAATAAAGTTCCTACTTCAGTTATCAAATGGGAAAGGAATCTTCTGACTTCAAAAAAGGAAAAAGAATCTTTTCTTGAGAATATGTGATACCTAACCTATTTGGAACCTCCTAAGGGAGTTTTGTTTTGGTCACTCAAGTCAACGTCTTGATTGAAATGAGGAAGAAATTACCATAGGTCTCCTGACATCTGATCTAATTCAGTTCAATTCAGTGAGTATCAATTGAACACTTGTACTGGAGTAGGCTGTATGTGGTATTTGAGAAGTAAGAGTCATGGTCCCTGCTCTCAAGGACCTCATGAATGAATAGGCATAAACATGAAATCCCTAACTGTGTAAGGTAGAATGTATAGAACATGACTAAACACCAAACTGAATAAGGCCAAAGTAAAGGAAAGGTTTCCTGGAGACAGAATTCAGATGGGCCCTAAAGAATAGGTCAAACTGGACAGGCAGTGAGAAATAGGAATAAGGTTTTAAGTAGGCAAGAAGAAGGAACAACCAAAGGAGAAAAGGTAGAGATGCCTTTCAGGGGCAGTAACATGGTTTGGTTGGTATTTGGGAAGAGGATAAAGATAATGTTTACCAAAGGTAAAGGCTATAGTTAGCAAAAGTCATATGGTCAGTGCTATTAAAGATAAAATTCAAAGGATACATCTGAGTTGATGAGACAAAAAAACTTTGATCATTAAGACTGGAAAATGTCTTCTATCAAGACTGGTGAAGTCCCTGTTTCACTAACATTTGAGCACAGTTTTATGTTGTTACTACAGGGGCTACAAGTGAGAGGCCCTCTGAGACCTGGGAATTAACACAGCCCTCTGAGAGCTGAACTTCAAATCACCCAAGGGATCAGAGTCAAGTTATGTTTGGTCACTTTAAACAGAAAGAATGGCTCCCCAACAAGCAAGTCCTCATACCCAGCCCACTGTATTCTTTCACTGGACAAGCAAAAACATTCAGTTAGCCAAGGCAGCTGGTATGTTTAGGAAACAAGGAAAAAGAATAACACAAATATTGGCAGTGTCCCTTCTCAGTACCACTCAAAGAAGAGAAGTCCAAAGACAATGGACTTTGAATATTAGTTACCCTCAGAAAAGGAACCTTAGGGGGAAACACGGATAAAATTAACTACCTGTAGAAGTAATTCAATGCAATAATCTCTAAATGAATGGGTGAGGGGAAGGTTTGGAGGAAGAATAGACAGATCCCAATGAAGGCAACCAGGGTACAGTTTTCAAGAGAAACTTATTCTATTAACATCCCTGAAGCTATAGCATAGTCAAGAGTATTGAGGTCTGATGAGAAGAGAGGGGTCAGTTCTAATCTAGAAAAGAAAAGCTCAAAGAACAAGGATCCACCCAAGTCCTTGCACCACTGGCTGGAGAAGGTGAAATTCAGGCAGGCGAGTATTTCTGCCTGCAGGTGTGTCACCAGTGGGGCGAGATCAGGCGATCACAGCCAGCAAAGGCAAACCATTAACCCCCAACAAGCTTGTCATATAAGAGATTTCTTTTATGTTCTCTTTAGGATTGTTTCCCTCAGGAGGGAAGGAAAGGAAAGCTAATATCAGTGTCTGTGTGTATTACTTAAAAAAAAAAAAAAAAGAATATTGTTTATGATTACCTCAACCTTGAAAAGGAAAAGTAAAGGTCATACTGAATATGTTTAGGTTTAGAATAGAGTTTGTTTTAGTTTAAAAGTTATAGTTAATACCAGATAATTTTGAATGAGAATATAACTGGCCATAAAAATGTTGTGGCTAATAGTCTTAGTTAAATGGTTTCTCCCTAAATAGTAGATAAAAACAGTTGAGGCAATGGTGATTAGGTATCTGACACCCCTCACCCTCAGAGGGTCTCAGGACTAATGAACCAAAGAGAAATAAGCCTCTGACTCTGATTTACCGAGACAGAGAGAGAGTGTGTGTGTGTGTGTGTGTGTGTGTGCGTGTGACAGGATCTGGGGCCCTCTATAATCTGCCACTGCCGTCATACCACCAAGCACCTCTCCCCAAGGGCACCAATCATCTTCATGTTGCTGATCCGACTTGCTTCTTCAGTCCTCATCTTGATACCTACAGTACTCATTGTTGGCCGTCTACCCAGCTTCTATTTCTCCAATCTTCCTTTACAGCCAAACCCCAATTCTATTCAGGTTTCTACTCTCTCCTAATGTGTTTCAGGGAAGGGTGACCTCAACTTCAAGGGTAGATAGCCTCTGGGCCAATCAGAGCATAGCTTCCCCCTGGTGATTACTGTCCAGGGTGTGCGTATGAACCAAACTGGCTCAGTCAGATTGAAAAGAATAATGCTTGGGAAGAGAAGGCCTCCCCCTCTTTTACTCTTGCTGTCTCTCTTTTATGTAAGATAATACATTTCTTTAATGTTTAATCTAGATTTAGAGGGCATTTTCTGTTCATTTCAGCTTAAACCATCCCAATTGATATATTTAACCCTACTGGCCATTCCTCTCCTTGAGATTCTCTTCCTTTGTCTTCTATGACATTACCGTCCTCACCTGCCCTAGTTTTTCTTCTGTTGCTTTGGCTACTACTTCACGGTCTGCTACGTGGAGGGCATGTTGGCTTTTTCAGACCACGAGGATATTGTTGAGTGTAATCACATACATTAAAGATAACTTTCTAAGCAGCTCCCCAATAGTAAAAAAAATTTAATAAAGCTAAGAGGAAAAAAGGCTCACTCACTAATAATAAATCTATTAAGTGTTACACCAAGATGAATACAGGTTAATACAACCTATGTTTTCTACTTTGTGTCGTTTTTTTTTTTTTTTTGTGAGGAAGATCAGCCCCGAGCTAATATCTGATGCCAATCCTCTTTTTGCTGAGGAAGACTGGCCCTGAGCTAACATCTGTGCCCATCTTCCTCTACTTTATATGTGACACTGCCACAGCATGGCTCGACAAGCAGTGTGTCGGTGCGTGCCTGGGATCCGAACCCGCGAACCCTGGGCTGCCGCAGCAGAGCTTGCACCACCGGGCCAGCCCTCTACTTTGTGTCTTTTTAAATCAGAGGTTTACCAGTGTATAATGAAGGACAAGTACCCTAATGTCAAAGAAATTCTATGCTTTAAATCCTATTTCTACTGCTCTGGGACCAGTTACTTGGTAGGAGGGCTCTGGGGGGCTCCAGTGTTTCTAGCAAGACACTTTAGCAGCTGCAGAACCATGTCATCCTGGGCTCCTCTGTGCCTTCCAGAACAAACCAGAAGGGAGTGGGCTTTGCAGGTTCAATCTGGCCCGACTGCCCAGGACTCAGAGAAAGGCTGGGGTAACATTCTCTGTTACTGCACATAGGAAAAGCCAGTCATCAAGTATATCACATCCAGGGTTACAAAGAAGAACATGACTATGTTCTTTTCTTACAGCTATTTGGTCAAAGGCATGAAGTAGGTCTTATTTTTATTTCTCTCATTACAAAGCACAGCACTTTGTAAATAATAAAACATTCAGTAAATATTTGTTGATTTAATGAATTAAGAGAAACTGATACTATATATGTCCTCCAGGACTTTAATCTGGTCATAAGAACGAGTCATTCAGCAGGGGAAATGCAGGGGCTTAAGGCACTGGTTTTAGAGTCAGAAAAGACCTCAATTTAAGTCACAGCCACACTAACCCCAGTTTCTTCATCTTGAAAATGGAGGTAATAAAACTTGCCTTAGAGCGTTGTGTGATAGGGTTAGAGGATACATGTATCTCATTTATGACTTATAACAACCTGACATGTACCTATTATTCTTTCTGTTTCTGTCCTTCTTACTTCAAAGGCAGGGGCTACACCTACCTTATTTATTTTAGTATAGCCAGTAAAAGTACAGAGTACATGTACACTCAATATTTGCCAAGTAGATGAATAAAAAGGGATTCAAGAGAATTCCTATGAAATTGAGAACAACATGGTCAGAGCAAACTCTTTCCTCATACATGCTAACAATATAAATACCTTAAAATGCCCATTTTTCTTTTCCTCTTGTAGATTTTCTGCATATTTAATACAGCTTCTACCTATATCTACTACTTCTTAATCTTCATATCACCAAAGCTATAGAAATATAAAGTATCTTCATAAAGTTCTTATATGATTTAAAAACTTTAATAGCTTGGGTAATTGGTATGATGAAATTAAGGCTTTAAAAGCATACTTATTAAAGTTCAAACAACAACACACATATATGTATTTTCATATTTTCTATTCCTGTGACAAATGGAAAATGGTTTTATGTACCCGAGGGAGTTAACTGCATTCTCTGCCTAGTCATCTTTTTTTTTTTTTAAAGATTTTATTTATTTATTTATTTATCCCCCCAAAGCCCCAGCAGATTGTTGTATGTCATAGCTGCACATCCTTCTAGTTGCTGTATGTGGGACGCGGCCTCAGCACGGCCGGAGAAGCGGTGCGTCTGTGTGCGCCTGGGATCCGAACCCAGGCCGCCAGCAGCGGAGCGCGCGCACTTAACCGCTGAGCCACGGGGCCGGCCCTGCCTAGTCATCTTGAAGTTTATATTTGCTAGAAGGAAAAAGTCCTTGTGTAGCAGAAGGATTACTGATCAATTCTACTATAACTATAATCTAATAAAGATTTAAAACTAAATGAACATTATGAAGATCATGTATCGCATTCACTAGTCAAGTTGTGTAGGTAGTCACTGAAATTTAACTATAACCAAAACACATAAGAGACAAGAAACAGAGCTTAACTGATTTCTTTTTGTCAACTTCCTGATTTTCTTTAGGCCACAAATATCTAACTATATGGTACGATGTGCCAAAATTACAGTTTTAAGTAAACCTTTCTGAATCTCCCAACAATTTTTTTTTTTTGGTGAGGAAGATCAGCCCTGAGCTAACATTCATGCCAATCCTCCTCCACTTTATATGGGACGCCGCCACAGCATGGCCTGACAAGCGGTGCCTCGGTGCGCACCCGGGACCCAAACCCGGGCCACCAGCAGCGGAGCACGCACACTTAACTGCTACGCCACAGGGCCGGCCCCTTGAATCTCCCAAACAATTTAACAGAAGGTGGGAACATGCATCTGAAGGGCATGTTGGCTTATGTATGTACGTGTGTATATATGTGGATGTGGATGTGCATAGCCAACGTACACATATGAAGACATAAGAGACTAAGTGCACACACTCATGAGTGCACATATGCACACACACACACAAACACGTTTTTTTGTGTGTGTGTGAGGAAGATCAGCCCTGAGCTAACATCCGATGCCAATCTTCCTCTTTTTGCTGAGGAAGATTGGCCCTGGGCTAACATCTGTGCCCATCTTCCTCTACTTTATATGGGACGCCGCCACAGCATGGCTTGACAAGCGGTGCCTCGATGCCCGCCCAGGATCTGAACCAGTGAACCCGGGCCGCTGAAGTGGAGTGCGCGCACTTAACTGCTGCGCCACCGGGCCGGCCCCAGCACACAAACACATTTTAAAGGAATTCTGGCTCTCATCAAAGCAGTTTACCTTCAGCCAGTTTAACATGACTGGCACAGTTCTAAATACAGAGTAAATGATTAATAAGTACATCAGTTGGCCTGAACTGCGGAAATGAAAGTATTACCAAGGTGATATTAAAATACAGCTGTGAATGAGAACAAAAAAGTTCAAAATTACCAAAAAATATGTTTGTCAATAATAATTTAAAAATATAAGGAACCAGCTGGTCCTTATTCTCCCTCTCCTCAAGCCATCTATATGTAAACAACTGTGAGCCAGGGACTGGATTAGATTTTGATTTCCTGCAATATGAAGTTTAGCTGCCAGACACCAAAGAAACAACACAAAACTAAAAAATGTTAAAAATCCACGTTGCGTTCTTTGTTTTGGGAAGCATATCTCTCTGGATCCTCGAAGAAGATATGGTGACCCCAGATGCCAGTGAAGGACCTGATGAGTGTGCTGGCCTGACCCCCTGAGATCCCCACATAAACACAGAGCATTGCAGACCTTCCCACATGCCAATCCCAGAAAGCACATTCTGCAGCCAAAACAAAAACCAGAACCCCATAGTCCTTAATGTGGTAACCAACTACTCCACAAAGAAAATGGGCGTGAGACAGACAAGTGAGAAAGACAATGTGGATGTGGTGGTTCTGGTAGAAATCCAGGTGGGCTCTTACTAGTTATTGGTGTCATAGCTTGAATCACCCTTGTGGTTGTGAAGGAAATAATGAGCAGGTCCTAAATAGTCGAAGAATTGTGTCATTTTGACAACATAAAAAAAACTGTCCCTGGTGCCAGTGTTAGAAGATGACCCATGGAAATGCTGCCCGTGCAGTTCTAAAGTCATGGAGATCCCTCACTTTCCAAAAGCAATGGAAAGAAATATAAATCAAAGATAATCTGCTTTTGAAACATTTTCTCTTTATATATAAATTCTGTAAAACTAGGTTTATAAAATAAAATACACAGAAAACAGGAGGAAAATCAAGTAAACCAACTTGTAGTCAAGAGACAATGTAATTCAAAACATATTAGAAACTGTAATTATGTCTTCATTTTGACTATTCTTGTTAAAGTGAAAAGCAATCTGGAAATATCTATACATATATATATACGTACACACAAATATATACATATGAAACCATACCCCCAAATTCATATAGATTAGCCACAAGAGGGCGCTTCAACAATGGAAAGAGACCACCAGGCTTATTTCCTTTAGATGCTCATTTCAGTACGTATTGGGCACACATTTTTGAACTTTTGAAGCAAAACTATTCAAAATATTTTACTTTTTTTTAATAGCCATTAGCTTTGTGATATGCTCATATTTTAAAGGTGCCCATCCAAATATTAGATTCCAAATTTTTTTTTTTTTTTTGGTGAGGAAGATTAGCCCTGAGCTAACGTCTGTTGCCAATCCTCCTCTTTTTTGCTGAGGAAGATTGGCCCTGAGCTAACATCCATGCCCATCTTCCTCTACTTTATATGTGGGACGCCTGCCACAGCATGGCTTGATGAGCGGTGTGTAGGTCCACGCCCAGGATCTGAACCTGTGAACCCCAGGCTGCTGAAGTGGAGCGTTTGAGGGCCAGCCCAGTGGCGCAAGCTGTTAAGTGTGCACTCTCCGCTGCAGGGGCCTGGGGTTTGCTGGTTCGGATCCCGGGCGCGCACTGACACACTGCTTGGCAAGCCACGCTGTGGCAGCGTCCCATATAAAGTGGAGGAAGATGGGCACGGATGTTAGCCCAGGGCCAGTCTTCCCTAGCCAAAAAAGAGGAGGATTGGCAGATGTTAGCACAGGGCTGATCTCCTCACAAAAAAATAAAAATAAAAATGAAGTGGAGCGTTTGAACTTAACCACTACACCACTGGGCCAGCCCTAGATTCCAAATCTTAACTAGAGGGTCAACGCATCTAGTACTTAGTACATGAGTCTTTACACTACTATCAAATACAGATCAAAATGACGACCAGTAAATCTGCCAAGTTGTATGTAGCGTGTTATGAGTGTGTTTAGAGCCATGCGCAAGGCTTAGGAAAACTTTGCTACTGAAACAGAGACGCTAGGTTTCTTTCCATCATGATCACTTTAAGCTGCCATATTTCAGAACATTTTTAAGTCTGGCACACATGACAATGGTTTTTACTTTAAAACAAAATATCACAGTTCCATTTAATTACTATTAGAAATGAAATGCCAGGATCTATACCTAGAGAGACTTCTTTGATCAGCTCAGCAGCAGCATGGCAACCTTGAACAAGTATCCTGGTCCAGGTTGACAGATCTCGATGTGTCTCTACCTTGAAGAGATGCATCTCAATGCCCTGCCGAGAGCCTGTCCTGGTAGCAAAGGTAAGGTCAGACCCAAGTGAGGGTGATCGACATCCGGAGCCAGAATGAACCAACCTAGGACCGCAAAGAGCAAAAGTGATTAATGCATTGTCAGAGGAAAATATCAGCAATTTATGCTGATTGACATGCAGAACATTATAAAAGCCACCAGCAGTTTTTGGATAAGCACATTTCAAAATAAGATTATAGTCTCTGAACTAGATACCATTCTGTTTTCCCATAAAATGACCCCTGGTGTCACAGGCAGAAACTGGGCTGGATGGGCCAAGGCCCCAGTTTCCCGTTGGCTTTTTTATGCTCCCAAGAGGCTATGCATATCAACGAAAGATTCAATTTTGATTTGGAAATGATAAGCCCCCATACATGTATAGCCTTCCCTATTATCAACTTCACTCACCAGAATGGTACATTTTTTACCAAGGATGAACCTACATCATAATCACCTGAAGCCCATAGTTTAATTTAGGGTTCACTCTTGGTGTTGTACATTCTATAGGTTTGCACAAATGTATAATGACATACATCCATCGTTATAATATCATATAGAGTATTTTCACTGCCTTAAAAACCCTCTTTGCACTGCCTATTCATCCTTCCCCTCCCCCAGCAACCACTGATCTTTTTATTGTCTCCAGTTTTGCCTTTTTCAGGACATTATATAGTTGGAATCACACAGTATAAAGCCCTGTTAGATTGGCTTCATTCACTTAGTAATATGCATTTAAGGTCCCTCCATGTCTTTTCATGGCTTGATAGCTCGTTTCTTTTTAGCACTGAATAATATTTCATTGTCTGGATGTACCACAGGTTATTTATCCATTCACCTACGGAAGGACATCTTCGTTGCTTCCAAGTTTTGGTAATTATGAAGAAAGCTGCTATAAACAACTTTGTGCAGGTTTCTGTGTGAACCTGTTTTCAACTCCTTTGGATAAACCAAGCAGCGGGATTGCTGGATCGTACGGTTAAGAGTATGTTCCAAAGTGACTGTACCATTTTGCATTCCCATCACAATGTATGAGAGTTCCTATTGTTCCACATCCTCACCAGCATTTGGTGTTGTCAGTGCTCTGGATATTGGGCATTTTAATAAGTGTGTAGTGGTATCTCGTTGTTTTAAGTTGCATTTCCCTGATGACATAGGATGTGGAGCATATTTTCATATTCTTATTTGCTATTTGTATATCTTCTTTGTTGTCTGTAAAGGTTCTTTGCCCATTTTTTAATTGCATTGTTTGTTTTCTTATTGTTGAGCTTTACAAGTTCTTTGTAAATTTTAGATAACAGTTCTTTATCAGATGTGTTTTTTGCAAATATTTTATCCTAGTCCGTGGCTTGTCTTCTCTTTCGCAGAGCAGAAAATTTTAATTTTAGTAAAGTCCACCTTATCAATTATTTCTTTCATGGATTATGTCTTTGGTGTTGTATCTAAAAAAGCCATCAGCGGGGAGGGAGGTGAACATGATGTAATCTATGCAGAAATAGAAGTATAATGATGTACACTGGAAAAAAAATAAAAGAGCCATCACTATACCCAGGGTCATCTAGGTTTTCTCCCATGTTATCTTCCAGGAGTTTTACAGTTTTGCATTTAGGTCGATGATCCATTTTGAGTTAATTTTTGTGAAGGGTGTAAGGTCTGTGTCTAGATTCATTTTTTTTTTTAAATTTTGTTAAAAATAGACTTTATTTTTTAGAACAGTTTTTTTTTTTTTTATAAGATTTTATTTATTCATTTTTTCCCCCCAAAGCCCCAGTAGATAGTTGTATGTCATAGGTTCACATCCTTCTAGTTGCTGCACGTGGGACTCGGCCTCGCGTTGGACGGAGAAGTGGCGCCTTGGGGCTTGCCCGGGATCCGAACCCGGGCCGCCAGCATCAGAGCGCGCTCACTTAACCGCTAAGCCACGGAGCCGGCCTTAGAACAGTTTTAGGTTCACAGCAATATTGAGCAGCAAGTACGGAGAGTTCCCATGCCCCCTGACCCACACATGCACAGCCTTTCCCACTATCAACATCCCGCACCTATCAACATCCCGCACCAGAGTGGTATGTTTATTAAAACTGATGAACCTATATTGACACATCATTATCACCCAAAGTCCACAGTTTACTCTAGCATCACTATTGTACATTCTGTGAGTTTTGACAAATGTATAATGACATGTATCTGCCATTGTAGCATCATACAGAATAGTTTCCCTGCCTTAAAAGTCCTGTGCTCCACGTAGTCATATCTTCCCCGCCTCTAGCTCCTGGCAACCACTGATCTTTTTATCATGTATAGTTTTGCATTTTCCAGAATGTCATATAGTTGGAATCATACAATATGTAGCCTTTTCAGATTGGCTTCTTTCACTTAGTAATATACATTTAAAGTTCCTCCATGTCTTTTCATGGCTTGATAGCTCATTTCTTTTTTTAAGAATTTTTTTTTTTAATTAATTTATTTTTCCCCCAAAGCCCCGGTAGATAGTTGTATGTCATAGTTGCACATCCTTCTAGTTGCTGTACGTGGGACGCGGCCTCAGCATGGCTGGAGAAGCGGTGCGTCGGTGCGCGCCCAGGATCCGAACCCGGGCCGCCAGCAGCGGAGCGCGCGCACTTAACCGCTAAGCCACGGGGCCGGCCCTGATAGCTCATTTCTTATTAGCTCTGAATAACATTTTCCGTTGTGTGAATTTACCATAGTTTATCCACTCATCCACTGAAGGACATCTTCATTGCTTCCAAGTTTTGGCAATTATTAATAAAGCTGGTATAAACTTCCACGTGCAGGTTTTTGTGTGGTGGGCGTAAGTTTTCAACTCATTTGTGTAAATACCAAGGAGTGAGATTGCTGGATTGTATGGTATGAGCATGTTTAGTTTTGTAAGAAACTGCCAAACTGTCTTCCAAAGTGGCTGTACTCTTTTGCATTCTTATCAGCAATGAGAGTTCCTGTTCCTCTACATCTTCACCAGCATTTGGTGTTGTCAGTGTTTTGGACTTTTTTGCCATTCTAATATATGTATAGTGGTATCTCATTTTTTTTTAATTGAGGTCATAATAGTTTATAACATTGTGAAATTTCAGTTGTACATTATTATTTGTCAGTCACCATATAAATGCACCCCTTCACCCCTTATACCCACCCCTGCAACCCCCTTCCCTCTGGTAACCACTAAACTGTTCTCTCCGTCTGTGTGTCTAGATTCATCTTTTTGCGTGTGGATGTCTAGTTGTTCTAGCACCATTTGTTGAAGAAACTATCTTTGTTCCATTGTATTGCCTTTGCTCCTCTGTCAAAGATCAGTTGACTATATTTATAGGGATCTATTTCTGGGCTCTCTATTCTGTTTCACTGATCTATCTGTCTCTTCTTTCGCCAATACTACACCGTCTTGATTACTGTAGCTTTATAGTAAGTCTTGAAGATGGGTAGTGTCAGTCCTCCAAGATTATTTTTCTCCTTCAATACTGTGTTGGCTGTTCTGGGTATTTTGCCTCTCCATATAAACTTTAGAATCAGTTTCTCAATATCCATAAAATAACTTGCTAGAATTTTGATTGGGATTGCATTGAATCTATAGATCAATTTGGGAAGAACTGACATCTTGACAATATTGAATCTTCCTATTCATAAACAGAATATCTCTCCATTTATTTAGTTCTTCTTTGATTTTGTTCATCAGAATTTTGTAGTTTTCCTCATACAGATCTTGAACATATTTTGTTAGATTTATACCTAAGTATTTCTTTTTTGGGGGTGCTAATGTAAATGCCATTGTGTTATTTATTTATTTATCCATCCATCCATCCATCCATCCATCCATCCATCCATCCATCCATCCATCCATCCATCCCCAAAGCCCCAGTAGATAGTTGTATGTCATAGTTGCACATCCTTCTAGTTGCTGTATGTGGGACACGGCCTCAGCATGGCCAGAGAAGTGGTGCGTTGGTGCGCACCCGGGATCTGAACCCAGGCCGCCAGCAGCGGAGCGCGCGCACTTAACTGCTAAGCCACTGGGCCAGCCCGCCATTGTGTTTTTAATTTCAAATTCCACTTATTCATTGCTAGTATATAGGAAAGCAATTGACTGGTGTACATTAACCTTGTATCCTGCAACTTTGCTATAATTGCCTATTTGTTCCAGGAGTTTTTTGGTCGATTCTTTTGGATTTTCTACATAGATGATCATGTCAACTGCAAACAAAGATAGTTTTTATGTCTTCCTTCTCAATCTGTATTTCTTTTGCTTCCTTTTCTTGCCTTATTGCATTAGCAAGGACTTCCAATATGATGCTGAAAAGGAGTGTCAAGAGGGGACATCCTTGTTTTGTACCTGATCTTAGTGGGAAAGCTTCGTGTTTCTTACTATTAAGTATGTTAGCTGTAGGTTTTTTGTAGACAGTCTTTATCAAGTTGAGAATGTTCCTATCTATTCCTAGTTTATTGAGAGTTTTTATCATGAATGGGTGTTGGATTTTGTCAAATGTTTTTTCTGCATCTCTTGAGAGGCTCATGTAATTTTTCTTCTTTAGCTTGTTGACGTGATGGATTACATTAAATGATTTTTGAATATTGAATTAGCCTTGCATACCTGGGATAGATACCACTTGGTCGTGGTGTATAATTCTTTTGATACTTTTTTGGATTCAAATTGCTAATATTTTGTTGAGGATTCTTACATCTCTGTTCATGAGAGATACTAGTCTGTAGTTTTCTTTTCTTGTAACATATTTGTCTGGTTTTGGTATCAGGGTAATGCTAGCCTCATAGAATGAGTCAGGAAGTATTCCCTCTGCTTCTATCCTCTGAAAGAGATTATAGGGAATTTCTTCCTCAAATGTTTGGTAGAATCACCAGTGAACTCATCTGCGCCTGGCGCTTTCTGTTTTGGAAGAGTTTGCACTTTTTTTTTTTTGTGAGGAAGACTGGATCTGAGCTAACATCCATTACCAATCCTCCTCTTTTTGCTGAGGAAGATTAGCCTTGAGCTAATATCTGTGCCCATCTTCCTCTATTTTGTATGTGGGATGCCACGACAGCATGGCTTAATGAGTGGTGC